AATTGTAGAGATTGGCCTCTCGTTTGTCTTTTCATGAATATATTAATACTTCTTTTGTAGTCATATCTTCGAAAACCATTCTCACAAAAATGCATAACTGTGCAATGTCACTAATATCCATGGATTCCCTAAATTGAAGTGATAGGAACTTACAAGCTTTTAAATCCTCGAAATCTCCAAATCTTCCTCCATTTAATAAATCCTCCAAATTATTATTCATAGCTTCAGTCTGCCGCATCACACTGTTACATGACAAAGAAATATTATATATTGACGATATTATTTCAGATTTGTTTTTAAAATCATGAAAAAGCACTTCTCCCTCAACGATTGCAGTGTCGTAATCTTCATTTACATTGTAGCATTGAAGCTTGTTGTCAATGGATAAAAATTCTTCGCAATTTTGTACATGTTGAAGTTCCACATGTAAATCATCATTTTCACTTTCAATGAGTTGTTCACATCCATCTCCAAAACCAAGTGCTTAAAGCCACAGTGAGAAAAACAGTTCTGAATTGTCTCACTTTTCATCAGCTGTCAGCCACAAATGTAACTGCTTGTAAGATGCTGACCTTTGCACTGACCTTGCTGGCTTTTGACGATGAGGTCAGCAACTTTCTTCAATTGCTTCAAGGATGTAATTAACCAACCTTGCATGATAAAGGGTCTTCAAATTTTTAATGATGCCCATGTCCATTGGCTGCACCAAAGCTGTGGTCCTGAGAGGTTGAAATTCCAGTTGGGCGTTCATCAAGCAATCCAAATGAGGATGTGCTGCACAATTGTCAAGAAGAAGCAGCACTTTATAGCTCTATGTCCCAATCCTTCAGCCATTCTTAAAAAAGTTCAGAGGTCATCCACACATTTCTGTTCGCATGATACCTAACTGGTAAACTCTCCATCCCAAGTCCTTTAAAGCAGCGAGGCTTAGTGCTTTTTCCTATAACGAACAACTTCCTCTTGTCTGTTCCTGACATGTTTGAGCAGCACAAAACAGTTACGCGATCCATCGCTTTTTTGGAGACAGAGAGTGCGACATGTTTGTAACTTAACGAGCCATCTGGTGTAGCACGATAATACAAGCCAGTAGCACGATAATACAGCCCAGTCTCATCAGCATATTAGATGTCATCTGCTGAAAAATTTTCGAGAAGCTCAAGCAGTTTTGTTGATTTCCATTCTTCAGCATTTGGACTATCAGCACTTTCTTTCTCGCCATGTGCTTTCCTGAATTTTATCTCACGTCTAGATTTCCATCGAGACAACCAACTGTCCGTACCTTTAAAGTCATCGGGGCTTTTTAGTGAGTTCTTCTGCTTTGCATTTTAACCTTGGGCCCCTAATTCGCACAGATCGTCCAGTAACAATGGCAAACCATTCATTAAGGGCCTCATCGACATCTGGGTCTTTGCCTTCACACTTCTGTTTTTTGAAAGTTCCTCCTCGTCCTTCACATTGCACCCATTCTTCTCGCAGCTCATTTTCTTGTTTTATCAAGTACGAAATTGTAGTCTTTGCAAATCCGGTTATTTCCACCAACTGATGATGACTAGTGTTTCGTGGTTGTTGCTTGATCTTATCCAGGAAACCAATTTTTCAGCTAACGTCAAGTCCCATGGTGGCATTTTGGCAGGGGACAAAACACAGTTTTGTGGACTAAAGTGGTCTGAAGAAATATTGGTGTTTCGGGTTCAAGATGTTGAGCTCAAGAGGGAGATAAAATGCTCGCCATTCAAAGCTTTGGCACTAAAATCATCCCAAGAAGGTGATGAAATCATAGCTTTCTTGTGTAAACTTTAATCATGATAGACAGGCAGGAATTCCTTTCAGGTGGAGCCAAACACTCTATTGTTCATTTCCTCGAAACTCAGAGCCGCAGGTCAAAGAAAATGGTGCACGTGTTCACCTTCCACCGGTTTCCCACGTCTTCACATTGTGCTTTAAGGAATTCCTGATCTTTGATAAAGCATTTTCATGGGGAGCTGCAATTACAAATCCTCCAATATGTCGCAGACCACCAGTGCATCCGCTGTATGCAGCCAACTTGTGGCTTCTGTTTCTTATTCGCTCTCACGTTTTTTGGTCCGATTAAATGAAATTTTGGTCCAAATAAGCGAATAATATTAGGCTTATGTACATAGGATTTGTTTCGGTTCTTTAGGATTTGTTCCGATTATCCGGTAATCCAATCAACTGGATTCGACTGTACTTCCAAATTTATTTCCCAAAGCGCTTACAATTTTAACAAAAGACATATGTTATGCACATCATCCTCCATTATGCACTTTTTCATAAAGTAAAATCAGATGTTACATTATTTTCAAACAAATCAGTGGCCTCTTTATGGTAACCAATTTCTCAACACAAATTTGTAACCTCAACTTATTTACAAACGAATTTCAATTCCAGCAGTCGATAAAACAAATTTAAAACTTTTTCTAATACCTTCACATACACAGATGATATAATTACTAAACTAATTCTGAATCTATTGAGAAATTCTAAATTTACCCATTTTGCTTAACAAAAATTAAAACCAATGCAAGTCAACAAGAAATAGATTTTCTTGATATACAAATAATTAATTTTAAAAAAATTTAAAACTTTTCATAAAACAAGAGATTTTAAATTTACGACTATTAAACTGATTAACAAGTGCATTAACCACTTGCGCTAAACAGACGTGCCACGCATGTCGAGATACTTTTGTCTCAAACCGTGAGTGGCGTGAACACCACGTCGATATGCATTTATCACAAAAATGAAAATAACGAGGTGCACATGTCGCCTAACAATGAGATTATTTATTTCTCGAATTACAGCTCTGGATTGCACTCGCAGACACGGAGCGGCGTAAATGAGACACTTACACTTTTATTTGTAGTGCACGGCACTGCAACCGTGAAGGTTAGTCGTAGCGCAAGTGGTTAATTTAACAATAAAAGCTATTATCAAGATGATAATTAATCAAATTAATACAATCAAAAATATCTGCATAGAAACAGACTATTTATAAGATGAACTAATTTTACTAACACCAATTCTTACAGACAATCAAATTCCTTCTCAATTTATTAATTCTTCACCATCTAAAAGTAGATGTTAACTTTCAAATTTAATCTTTAAGATAATAAGCTATGATACGCTTGTCCAGAACCACTAGGAAGGTAAAATCGGATGTTTGTTAGATTTGAAGATTTGTATATTAGGTATTCTAACTTGTTAATTATTTTACAGGAAATATTTCTGGCTACTTTCCTGTTACTAACTAAAGGTCATTTTGTTTCTAAGACTCAACATTGCTGATCCTGAGAAAAGACTTTTGGCCTTAATTCTCCCTATTTTCAGTTTCCTTGCTTTCAGTGAAAAATAATTAACTTTTTAGTTTTTATTCTGAGCCAATTTATTTTAATTCTCTGAAATCTGTCACAGGGAGATAACAGTTGTCACCTTTCCACCCTTGTCTGTGAAATTTTGAGTTCCTTGGTCTATAGCAAATCATAACACATATTTCTTAAAAGTTTCTGGCCATTCAGAATCTACATATGGCAACACACTCTCTCTCAAAAACTTTTACGGTAACCCTAAGCATCGTTTGTGCATTGTCTCAAAAAAAATTTTTTTATTTAAGAAATATGGTATTACACATATACAAAGAAAGATAAAATTATACTTTCTGGCTCATATACATATTTTAAATGTGACACATGACAATTTAAAATTGAATAATTTAATACACTTTTGTTTATAATTACCAACATGTTTTGAGTTTTCTCTTTATTTTAACCAATAATCAGTTTAAAAATTTTTTGTACAACATATTGTTTTGCATATAATTTTAGATCACATCAGAAAATTTAAGTATTTGAAATTTCCAAATTTAAATTTTAAAAATATTACATTTCTTGTTTTTTTTTTTTTTTTTTTTTTTTTTTTTTTTACTTTTGAAGAAAGGAGATAAACAACATCATCCTTAATTTGAGTCTATAGAAAAAGAATACTTCCCCTTGAAAGAGAATATTTTTTCAAACCAATCATGATAAAAAATCTGAGTGCATACCATAACTCAGAAACACAATTTCTATCATTTGAAATCTATAATCATTGCCATGTGTTCTATTTAATCAACAAAATGAACAGTTTTGTATCTAAAACGATTGCATAAAAACTAAGCAAACAAACAAAAAGTTTTTCACAGACGATCGTATTTCTCATTCATAATTCAGTTTTCACTTCACAACAAGGCAAAATACATAAAAAATCAAAATATTATATTAAAAATTTTGAAGTAAATCTTAACACTATTTACTGAAAAATCAAACAGATATCATGATTTAATTCGCAATAATAAATAAAGGCGTTTCTTTGTGTGCAAGCTTAGTCTCTCTAGATTGGCACAAATCTCCTCCTATTTGCTGTTTCAAAGGTAAACAACTAGTCTGCCCTGTTTTTAAAAATTAGGCTTACCTCTTAAACAACCTTTAAATTGTTGATAATTCTACAAATATTGCTTGCAGATTTCCTAAAGCATAAAAACCTAACGGAAGAAGAAAAAACAGAATCAATAATTTTTAACAAAAATGCACAATTACAAAATATCAGAGAAAGAAACTGAGATCACCGAGTCGAGTACAGAATGAATATATATATATTTTTTTAAAACAGTTTATAATTTTTTGGAGGAAAAGTGTCTTTTATTCTGTTTTCGTACACTGTCCACAAAACTTGTCAACGCATCCCCTAGCAGCAAAAGGGTATTTCGTTGAAATATGCTGCCTGAAATTTTCCGGACTACAATACTTTTTTTACTTTGTACAGGATAAAAAAAAAAAAAAAAAAAAAAAAAAAAAAAAACAGATAAAAGTGTAAATATTGGGGATTACTTACATTTTTTTTTTTTTTTTTTTTTTTTTACTTTTAGATATAATTAATAGTGGATTAAAAACTTAATTCTTATTATAGTCATCATTAAAATTAATGCAGAATAATAATTATCTTACTCTTTATCAAACTGTGCAAAAATTCTTCTTGCAACATCACGTAATGCTACTTTCCGATTCTCCTCTGCTTTACTTATGCGAGTTACAAAATCTTTGCATTCCTGAGTATAATACCTCTTAAATCCTTTTCTGGCTCCTTGAAACTCAAAATTACTTGGAACCTTTTTATTATCAGGAACTTCAAGTTGAAATCTTGTCTTTGCACTGCCAACATAGGTTACCTAATAAATTAAAAAACATTTTGTTATGCACTAATGTCATTTACAGTAGATGGACAAAAATATAGAAACACCTTGTGAAATTCATGTTTGAAAAGAAAGATTGATTTTAATGAAATATGTAGGTGGCGCTGGCGTTTTTGACTACTGACGCCACCTTATACAACCCATAATTTGCTAACGTTCAGTGTTGTCGGCGTCGTTATTGATGTTGTCATTGCATTGTCAGAGTTAATATACTTCGAACAGGCAAAATGTTAACTCGTATGTTGCTTTCCAAAGCAGGTAGCCGAGGTGTTTAGTTTTCAAGAGGTACTGTATCGAAGATGTAGCCCATATTTGAAAGCGGAAAAACATCCTTTCTAAACACAGCGTGGACGAAAGTGTGTCCGATGATGTGACAGACGATCATTTATGGGCAATGTGACGAAAAATAAGAGACCACAGCGCAAAAGTTACTGCGAAATGATGTTGTTACCGACCTGGAGTACAAAAAATAAAGGGAGCTTCATAAAGGGAATTGTGGCCGTGCTGATTGAGAAGCCACTCGTCAGGATGCTAATGCCCAGCACAGAAAGGTTGTTTTAAGTCATAAAGCCGGGCTAAGAGCAGTGGACGGTAATGATGTATGGAGTCTTCTTTCACATGTTCCCACTCTGGGCCAAGTTTAAGTCTGGAGAACGCCATCTCAAGGCATAATACAGACTGCTTGTTGCCAAGAGTGAAAAGGCGGTTCTTATGTTTTGGGCAGCAGAACGTGGTTCTCGAGCCCCATAGAACGGTCAGGCACGTGACTGCAAAACTATGTGAACGTTTCGGCCGATCAAGTCATCACATGGTACAAACTTTGTTCCTATGGTGATGTCTATTCCAGACGACAAGCCCTGTTCACACAGCGCACATTTCCAAACTGGTTTTCTGAGCACGAGGATGAGTTGTCATCTCCCCTGGCACCAAGTCACCAGACCTGAATATTATCGAACCTTTGTGGTCTACATTGGAACGGAGATGGTTCTGACCACCGCCGACACTATCTGAACTTGCCATTGTTTGCAGGAAGAATTGTATAATATTCCCTTGGCAAACATACAGGAACTGTATTTATCCATTCTGAGAAGACAAGAAACATGTTTTTTTAAAGGTGTTTCCATATTTTTGTCCAACCTCTATATCTTACTGAATACAAAACATTTTTTTGATATCTCCCAACCATGTTAACAAGCCTGTGTAGCTTAAATACTAGGTAATATTAAATTCCAAGGTTAAAATATATATGAAACTTATTTCCAAATATTATAATGAAAGGGGAAAAGTTATATGACTTTACCATGGGAAAACAGAGAAAGAAAACTGTAATAATTCAAGATTTTCGACTGATGTAATCTGCATTTAGTATTTTCGAATGAAATTAACAAACTCAGAAATTAAAAAGAACTTGTCAGAATCCTATATTTAAAATAATGTACAATGATTACTTTTCCAATCACATTTAAATCAAATATTTCAATAAGTAACAGGTAAAAATCCCAATTTTCAAATTATATACAAATAGCTGTTACCTGGCATGTGTTGCAATGAGTAGTAATAATATCTAAAATAAGATGCTGAAGCAAATTATAGAAGTGATATAGACCGCCTATAATTAGTTGAGAAATATAGATTTAAATCACATATATTTTAAATTACATGAAAACTAAAAAAGAAATTAATAAAATCTGATAAATTATCTAGAAATATTTACTAGCATAATGAATTTAATTTTAATATTATAATGGAATTTTCAGTTATTTTCAAAAACTAAACAGCTTAAAACTTCAAAACAGTACTAATGACAAAAATTCTGAATTTCAAAAAAATATAACTGGTAGCTATGATTGAAAATGAACTGGCTATCATACAGAACAACACACTTATATATGGATATAAAATCAAATATTAAAATAATCTGAACTAAATGTTTTCCATATACAAAGTATGATAAAGTTTGGGGAATCTGCTTAACAAAAAATTCTTAATTGTATCAGGAGAAATGTTTTATACTGCTTCAAAGTAATGCTCATCATCTGCATTACATTTTTGACAAGAAGTACATTGCTTGAAAACTACTGACCAAACTCTTTTTCAGTATACCACACAGAACTTTCGTCACATGGTTTTGCTGATCTGGAATATATGAAAACCATAGTCTTTTTAGGGCTCTTTCAAGTGCAAGAATAGACTACTGGAGCAAGATCAGGAGAGTATAGTGGATGATTGAGGTTTACAACTCTTCTACAGGCTATAAATTTTGATGACAAGGTTTGAAAGTGGACAGGCATTATTATAAAGAAAGAATCAAGAGCCCTACTCAGAATATTCTGGATTACATGCTGAATCATTTGCAATAAAATTGCCAGAACATCGTTGTGCGTATCAGCATTCATTGCTGATCTTCCTGGCTAACATATTCTGTATGGTCAATATTTTTTTCTCTATAAGAAGTCCTAATACTTCAAGCTACATTTTCAACCGAATTCTGTTCATCGAGAAAATATTTAAGCCACTCATGCATACCTTTTAAAGATATAGCTTTATCTCTGTAAGGGTAAACATAAACAAAGTAAATTATTTACACATTAAAATAAATTCAAAGTGTAAATATAACAGTTTACTACATACCACTTATTTACAATGATAACTTAATGAATATATAAATAATACATGTCATCAGTTTTCCCTCTGCATCTATCTAAAATTTAGTTAAAAAGAGAATAAGATAAAATAGTAATAAAAGAAAGAAAAATTCTGTTAATAAAATTAACAAATAAAACGTACCTTGCAATTCAGTAATTGTTTTTGCTCTTGTAGGTAGGATTCAAGATCCTTTTCCGTTTCTTCAATTTCTGCACACGCAGAATCATATTCCTCATCAACTCCAGGACGTGGAATAAAGTTACCTTCTTTTTTAGCTACTTCGTGGTCAAATGCATGGTCAAAATATACTAACTTTTCAGATAAATCTGGGAAACGACCTCCTACTTTAGTAGTGGAAGTACATTCCTTCAAAATAGATGACCTGAAAATGTAATAGTTTAATGCTGTTTGCTATTACACATATGCAATTATTTCACGTGGATAAGATGGAATAAATAACTCTTTTATTTATAATTTTTTAGCAATTAAGTGGAAAATCTGTACATTTCACCAATTATGAGCATAAAAAAATCCAGTTTAGACTTACAGTGCTATTTTTAAAACAGAGCGATGAAGTTTCCAAAAGTAAAATAAAATACAGCAAAAGTAGCTTATAGTGAATTAGAAAGTTTAGAAGTTCATGGTTTTAAATGTATCCCTAAAATAGTGTTATGATGCATATATATATATGTGATGTATCCAGCTTTTGTTCCGGAATAAATAGATTGCTGAAGAATCATAGATATAGTCGTAGCTCAAAGTATCAGACGATAAGTTTAAAAAACAGAATCCATTTATTATTCAGAAGAAAGTAGCAGTTACAAAAATCATGTTTCCGGAGTAAATAAAAAGAAACTACTAATAACTTTTTATATGAAGTTTACTGCATCCTTACATTAAAGAAAAGACCCCCGATATTCCTTTGCGAGTCCTTTTATAGCCTCTGAAAGGCGGACTTCCAAGAATGACGTCAGCCAATCCTTCGCTTAATATCTCCAGAACATTCTAAAACTGTACGTGTAGAAAAAGGCGGGAAAAACAACTTGACTACTGGGCTGTGGATTTAATTCCACGTATTTTCAAATAAGAGAACATCGCCATTAAAAATGAAAAGAACATACAGTTAGAATTTTAAGTATTCTTGACTAAAGATGACAGATGCAAGCATATTATGCATAAAGTTATGACTAAGTCACTACACCTACATGATGATGTTCAATTTCTTAATTTTAATTTAAAAGCAGATACATATGTATTTGTAAACATGCAGATTGAAACAAACAGCAACTAAAGATCTTTATTTATTCAAAAGAAATCATGAAAAAAAAAAATTACTAAAACTATCTCTTTAAAAAATGTTACAAAGAAAGTTTAGTAATATGGAATTATTTTTAAATTGCTTTTGCTTCAGAGATTATATATAGTCTTTGACAACAAAAGTATATTTTTTCATTTTAATGAAAATTTGTTTCCTCTCAGTGTTTCAATAAGTAATTAATCACAAATGATACTAAAGAGAGAAATGAAATGGCATTATCATATGAAGCCCAGCAATACAAAACTATAAAAAAGAAGAAATATAATTTATTTCTTATTTGCAAAATTAAGAAATATTTTTCTTACATTTATTATTAAGGAAAAATAAGCTACTAAATTATCTATTTAAATTTAAAAGATAATTTGGCACACAAATTCCACTAGATTTGAAATTAAAATCTTTGATTCATTACTTTTTCTTAAGCATCAAGAATTTTTTCCATTTATTAAAATCAATATATTAAAAAAATTTCTCAAAATTATCACACTTCATCTTATGAATTGACATTTTCTGTGAGCAGAGGATAAAATGTGCATTTTATTTTAATCCTCAAATATTTTAAGGAACATAAATTACCATTACCTGCAATATAAGAATAAATGCATATGAAATTATTGTTCATTTTTTGGGGGGGAAAGAAAAAAGAAAAGAAAAGAAAACGACCTACTTGAAGTTTTCTAAGTGGTCTTCAAAATGAGATATTACTTTTATGCTTTCTTTAAATCCATCAAGTGTTGATAAAAAGTCAAGCAACTTTTTCTTATTGTAAATATCAGATTCATAAAAAATAGCCCGCATTTCAGGATGACTTTTGGAACGATTCAGGCCTTGAGTATGAATTCTAAGAAATGAACAAAAAGAAAATAGTAATAATCTAGTACTTTAATATATTTATTTATTCAAATGCATGAGTAGCAAAGGAATGGCAAGCATTAAAATTAAAAAATCTGAATACTGTAAAAAAGTGGTGGTCAACTAACGTCCATGGCAAAATTAAAGAAGAATATTATTATTATTACTATTAGCCATTAGCCACTTGCAAAAGCTAGCTGCTTAAAATAGTTATAATAATTTGAATGAAATGAATCCAGCTAGTAATTGATAGTATTTAATAATCATATAATGAACTGTGTTTATTGCTGTTAAACTGCTTGTTTATCAATCAATAGCAAACTGATTTAATATGAAAGAAAGTTAAATATCTAACACCTTGTCAAATGGTACACATTGGTGTACCATATACACCAATGTGTACCATTGGTGTATATTGGTCAAAAAAATTTTTTGGACAGTGGCAGAGTGTTTCTTTAAATTGTTGTGTTTGTTGATTAAATCTGAAAGATAAAGCTAGTTTATGCTTTACTGAATGACAAGACATTGCTTTTAAAATCACTAAGTTCATTAATAAAAAAAAAATTATTAAATTCATGCAAAGCATTAATAAAAAAAAATCAAAATTCAGGCTTTAAAGCACACACGTTCATGGTGACTACATGTGCTTGAAATTTAATGACTGCAGATAATATGATTTTTCTACAATGTGACGAGTAAACATACATAGTATGTACAGATTCTTCTCCATTTAATAGAGATAATTGTTTATTATGGGCTTAATGATAAATGTAACTTTTGTTTTTGGGGTACTTGCAGGTTTCTGACAGCCTTACTAGTAAAAACTGATCTTTATAACTTTGTTGTTTTACATGAATAATTACAGTGCTCTCATTATCTAATTTGATATTTGTGAGGCAATAAAATTTTCATGGAAAAACACATTTAAAATAGCATTTTGAATATTTGAAATTTGGTCTTGGTGTTATTCTGATTATTCACAAAATTTTATGTAAGTATAACTAAGCATCATGAAATAACCTAGTTTTTAATAATATTAACTAATAATATCTTGAAATGATCTATGTTTATCATCCTAAGGCATTTTGTTCCTTAATCGTTTAAGCTGAAGAAAACTTTGCATTGACACACATCTTAAATTAATCCCAGTGGGTACAAAAAATGGATAGCACTACTGCAAGAAATCCCATGCTGAAAATATGAATAAAAAACTGCACTTTAGGTGTACTGCCATCAATACAATTTTGTTATACAAAGCTATACCGAGAGATGCCTAGCAATCTAAAAATTTCTTTTATCACCTCAGCATGAAACTATTTGCATAAGATACAAAGAAGAAATATTAAATTATTAAGAAATGTAAAAATAAACATTCCTTGTAACTTCTACATCCATGATTTACACATAAATACAACATCATAAAAAGATAAACATAACAACGCAGCACTTTAAAAGAAATATTTTCAATTTTTGCCTCTCTGAAGAATGATTGTAAAAAGAGAAGTGATTTGCAGCAATAATACTAACCAGTATTGTGAACCTGAAAGGATTTTTCCATTTCAAAGAGTATTCAAATAACATTGCCAAAATACAACCCAACTCTGGTTCCTGCAAGTATTCGACAACCCTAAAATTTGTTGAATGCTTCAAGAAAAATAAAGAATTGTTTTGTTTAATTTTTTTTTTTTTTTTTTTAAATCTTAGTATCATTTTTAGATGAATTAGAACAAGTGGATATTTACATTAAGTCTGATTCTTCAGAGAAACAAAGGCATATACTATATTTATTTAACATAGAAAATTCCCTAGACAACATTTATTCATCATGTGTTCATTTTTTACTGCATTTTGCATTATGTGTTTCCTAGCCTTGCCAAGAAATGAAACAGAGAAATCCATTCACAGAGGTATGTGCATTTTACCAAAAAAAAAACTACCCAGTGTTTCAGTTCTCATACAATGACACCATACTTGACAGAAGATATACAATACAAATGTAATGTCAACAACAGCCCACAAAGTGTTAGAATGAAAACGGCGAAACAATTTGAGAGTAGTTACTACATGACTTAACCTGACTTTAGCAGAGGACTTATGGCAAATAAGCAATGTGATAACATTTTAAATGCCAGTATCAAACAATATCCACTAGAAATTTACACACACACACACACACACACACACAAAAAAAAAAAAAAAAAAAAAAAAATGTTTTATTGATTTTCTGACATTAGAAATATATTTCATTGCAAAAGGCCTAAACAGGCTGTTAGCACTGCATCGGCAAGTATTTTTTAATACAAATGAAAGTTTAAACACAATCAGATTTTCTAAAGATTATCACCAGTTCCAGACAATTTAGTTTTGATTTTTAGGGACGAAGTTTGTCTCAACTTCACTACTAGTGTTATTAAATGCTATTATTTAGTAATATTCTCAAAAATACCAATCATTTTTAGTGAAATAGTAAGTGATTTTTAGCACAAAGACTTGTTCTGTTAATTTCAAATGATAATATTCTTTTATACGTAGCGTATTCGGAAACTAAGTACCGTTTCATTCTAGCGCCGTCGCAGCGCTGTGGTAGGCGTCCCGCGCATGCGCAATAGTCTTTCTTGTTCACTGACTTTCAATTGTCACCATTTTGGTTGCTCTATGTTGTGTTTTCAGTTTGCTGTGCACATTCAAAATGTTTAAGACAATTAGTTTCTCCCGCTGACTGTGATTTCGTGCCGTGATTAAAATTTTTGAACGCGAGGAATGTTGAACCTGCTGAAATTTATCGTCAAGTGACAGAAGTTTACGGTGAATACGCGATAAGTGATGGAATGGTGAGAAAGTGGGTAAGAATGTTTAATGCAGGTCGAACAAATGTCCACGCCGAGGCTCGGAGTGGTCGGCCTTCTGTTGTCACCGATGATTTGGTAAGGAAAGTTGATGAAGCAATTCATGAGATCAGACGCTTCACAATGACAACTCTTTCAGAGGCATTTCCACAAATTTCACGTACTGTTTTGTTCAAAATCGTGTCTGACCGCTTGAATTATCGCAAACTGTGTTCCCGATGGGTTCCAAAAATGCTCACTGATGTTCACAAAACAAAGCGACTTGATAGTGCCCAGACATTTCTCACGCGGTACAGTGATGAGGGAGAAAACTTTTTAAACCAAATTGTGACAGGTGATGAAACTTGAGTGTGTCATTTCACACCAGAATCGAAACAACAATCGATGGAGTGGAGACACACTCATTCTCCAAAAAAACAAAAGTTCAAAGTGACAATGTCACCACAAAAAATCATGTGCACTGTTTCTGGGATAGGAAAGGCGTTTTGCTTACTGAATTTCTTCCCCGAGGTGAAACCATTAATGCAGCACGATATTGTGAGACTTTAACAAAACTAAGCGTGCCATTCAAAACAAACAAAGAGGAATGCTCAGTAAAGGAATTGTGTTGCTCCATGACAATGCTCGGCCCCATACTGCTGGTGTCACTCAATCGTTAATTCGACAGTTTCATTGGGAGCAGTTCGATCACCCGCCGAACAGCCCGGACTTGGCGCTGTCCGACTATCACTTGTTCCTGCACATGAAGGGCGAGCTTGGTGGCAAGCGCTTTGGATCTGACGATGACACGAAAAATGCTGTGAAGTTGTGGTTAACGAAACTGGCAGGAAGTTTCTTTAACGATGGTGTACAAAAACTGGTCACCCGCTATGACAAGTGTTTGATCATTGGCGGAAACTACGTTGAAAAATAGTTTAAGACATGTATTTTCATGTAAAAATAAAATTGGATTCGAAAAAATTGTTTTACTATTTTTTTTTTTTTTTTTTTTTTTTCAAAACGGTACTTAGTTTCCGAATACGCCTCGTATTTTTCCTTATCAATGAGACAAAGATCAATTATCAATTTCATATCTTATGAGGCGTGGTTGCAGAAGGCAAAGTTTTTCTATATATTTCATGTGAAACAGAATATCAAGTTTTTGAGGGAATTCAGCTTAATTCTATTTTAATAACTTTACAATGCATGTATAAATCATCAAAAAATTTAAACAATTTTATTGAAATAGCTATCAAATTTGCTCAAGATGGTTTCAAATGTGTAATATAAAATTGCAACCTCAAATGATCATATCAAAAAAGTAATTTGACATTAGCAGAGTTATCAAAATTATGCTAATATTATAGATTTCATAAGAGGATTACAAGACCTTGTCTTACAACTAGACCAAGGGTTTTTTAAATTCCATTTTGTATCACATATTGTTATAAAAAAACATTATGTCAGCATTTTAAATTATTTTCAATTTGCATAATGTAAGAAATAAGACAATCGAGGAAAAATAAAGTACCAAACTGGTTTAAATATATAAAGACGCTGTCCTCTCAAAATGCTCATCAAACATATGCAACTTAACATTTAAAAAATGGATAATTTAGAATAAGAGTTTACTTCTTCTTTAGCTTTAAAAGAAAGCTTATTTTCTTAGTTTCACCTGATATAATATATAGACCAGTTAATTATCTTTCTTCTATAATATCTTAATCACACAACTTCATACATGACCATCTTATGCTAGCCCATTTTTTTCTTGTAAAAGTAGAATACTCTGAGTAACATGACTGCCTTTTTCCAGTCATTATATTCCTTGCTGTTATGTACATATTAACAAGTTACTGTTAAAAATATAACGTTCTAATTTTTTTAGCGATCTGCATATCATCCCAGTAAACAAAAATTTATAAACACAGAAAATAAAATAAATAATTAAAAAAAAAAAAAAAAAAGCAACTAATAAACATCAAGCAATACAGCTCTCTGCAAATGGATAAAAAATACCATTGCCATTCACAGGGTTATAAGATCTGATGTGTGTACCACATGACTTCCTTGTATGGAATATTAAATTATACACATTTTTTCTTGCATTTCATTTAAACTTATTGAATTGAATTAAATCTACTTCGTCAATAGCGCATAAACC